AAACACACTCTCCTGGAAAACCTTGGCCTTTGGCTGTTGTGGCCGTAGCTGGAGAAATGGAAAGAGGCGCCACGACTTCTAAAAGCTGATGGACGCTCTAAACATCTTAAGTCCAGAAACAACTACCTCAGCTGAAAACTCCCACAAAACACTCAATTGCAGAACTGTGGAGCAGTTCACACAGTACGCATAACGATGTTGCAACAACCACCAGCAAGTGACTTGTGATTACTGTGCTGACTAACTTGGAATCAGCAACCTGAGGCATGAAGAGAGCTAAAAGTACTGAGATTTCTAATTTTCTAGTTTCCATTTTTCTCTCCAACATTCAACTGATAAAACAAAATCCAAAATCATAATTTTCTAATGACAAAAAAAAAATACTATTCTAGAAAATGAAATGATCTTTTCCAGTTCTCCATTATTGATTTTATAAAACAAGACCAACTGATTAGCATAACACCGACCAGACTGCTCAAACACCATTCTATCTTTATGAGACTGTAGTAAAACAGCTCAATTATTATATCCCATGGGCTTCCAAGTTTCCTTAAAATGTTCACTTAAGTATTTAAAGCTTTCTCCTCATCTTAGTCTTCAAATTAAGGACTCGCTTAAAGTCAGTTAAACTGTTGTACAAAAGACCTTAGCCAACAAAGTAAGGAAAACTTAAGGTACCTCTTACTCCATCTTAACTGCAACAAGTGTATGGCAATAAATAAAGAAAATCAACCTTTTAAGAGTTTCTGTGTAATACCTGTAAGTAACTCCCTCAGTAGGTAGTAGAGATTAAACCTTAAGTGTCATACTAAAATAGAAAACTTAAGGTGTTTTGTGCATCCGGACCTAGAACCTTAAGCTTCATCAAAAAAAGATCCTACAGTCCACTGTGTCGAATGCTTTCTGTAGATATGACAAAATCAAACCACATAACCTTCCGCAATCTGTTCGTTTCCTTCTATGATCAGTCATGTACAAACAGGTCTCCGTTCAACATGACTTCCTGAATCTATTTTGAAATTCATATAGAGTCCTGCAGAAGGAGAGATCAGCGCAAGCATCTATGGTTACAGTGACTGACGTATTGTGGTCGTCAAGACTTCCGTATGCATACACCCAGTATACATAGCAGGGGGAGCTGGTCCTTTTCAGTGGTATTAGCTTAGCTGACAGCCCAAACAGCATGGAGGAAATGATCGGGTGTGATGATGCCTGAAGCGGGGAAAGGACTTGCCAGTGCTCTTTTAACAACACATCCAGCTTTGTTTCAAATTTAGCTAAGTCTTGTTGTTCAGTCTATGTCGCCCTCCCTCCTAGGGACTGCAAACGAATCAGCTATGCAAAAACAAGGAGTGTTGGTGGATTTAGGAGCTATCACACTGGAGAGCTGAGACAGGGAGAGCTGACAATGAACACAACGCCACACATGAACACCACCGGCTCAGCAGGAGCCAGCAGACAGACATTTACTCTCTCTGGAAAAGTAGCATTTGAGCATACTGACATGGATTTTGGTTGTTCTGTCAGGAGTGGAAACACATAGTCTGTGTCACCGATTGTTCGTTCAACCACTCACAAGATGGACCACTGGGCTTGAAGGCCGGATCCAGGTGACAGGAGCAGCACCGAAACTTTTCCACCTTGTTGAAAAGTTCTCAGCACAGACATTTTGCTGTAATGGCACTTTTCTTCAGCCAAATGACATGTAATGGGGACGTTCTCGGAAAGTGCTGGCATAATCCAGCACATTACACTTTGGGGCAAGTCTGACAGCCATTTTTCTTCAAGGAGCCAGATGTGCCTGCACACTGTGAGCCCAAACACAAGAGTGGACGGACTAAAGTCTAAAGATTCCTGGGTGGTTTCTCTTTTCCTATCTATACTAGATAACCATGGTGCTGTAGCTTTATCATTAACTCTCTGGTCCCTGAGCAGTGAGACTGAAGAAAAGTGCAGCAGTGTGGAATAAAGAACCTCACTTTTCCACACCAGCACTTTAGCTGCCATTCATCACTGATAATGGCTATTAGGGTTGGATGGTCATCAGGAGTAACAGCGTTTCCTGTTGGGCTCTTGGGGCTAGAACTGTGGCTAACCCATTTTGCTTTCACATGCCTCCAGGAAATACTGCATTTTAAAGAAACCCTTATAGCCAAATAATCAATATTATAATGTACCCTACAATACTTAGTGTAATTTCTGAATACCATCTTATATTCATTCATAGTATCAAGAACATTTTTATAGAAATGATCTTACAAATAGATGCAAAACAATGTGGTTTAAGAATGTTTATTAACCTGAAAAGCCCATGCAAACGTGGAGACATACAAAATATAACAAAAAAAAAAAAAAAAAAAAAAAAAAAAAAAAAAAAAGACAGGACAAATGAATGAGTCATTTCACAAATAAATGTAAACGATGATGTACAGTTACTTACAGTTACTTTACCTTAAATCAAGAAAAAATGGGGAAATATTCTGTTGATATCTTTGGGGTCTGAGGAAATGACCTTGGGCTCTGAGAGTTTGTGGTTGTACTTGAGCTTTCACTAGTTTTTGAGAATTTCACAGCTACGTCTACAGCTGTCTGACTTACAATGACAAAGCAACTGTTATGCACGTATAACTGGACAACACAAATTTTTGATGAACGCACCAGAATGCAGCATGTTAAAATTGTACAACATGGTGACTGCAACACTGTGAAACTATCATCACTGGCTTCCTTCTAAACTGTCTGTAACATGTCAGCCTGTAGAGCTTCCAGCACTATAACAGTGAAAGTGTTGTGAAGTGACCCATTTTGTACACAATGATGATGTATGCACGTTAATTTGATCCAGATGATTTCATGTAGGTAAATAGTTGCAAATACAAAATGTTGTAATCTTGTTCTGATTGGTCTCTCAGAGTAAATAAGAGAATAGAGGGTCATTCTTTTCCAATTGTATGTTGTACAACATTCATGATTTTATCTATGCAAGTGGCATGGGTTTGTGGATGGCAGTGTTTGAATATCTGCCGAGCACTTTGGTATTTCATACATAAATAATAATTGGGTTGACTGCTGTGAAATGTGGTTCAGACATTAATGGTACCCATAATCCCTTTAACTGTGGTGATCCAAATGCTTTTAGTTGAGCGTCTTGACAACTATTGGATGGATTGATATGAAACGTGGTTCAGACATTCTCATCCCTATAGAATAAATGGTCATATGTTTGGTGAAGTTTTCATCTAGAGCCAACATTTGTTAACAAAATTCATATTTGTCCAGGACTTTGGTTTATGACCAAATACCTGCTAAACTAACGACAATCCCATCAGCATCAGCTGAACTGTCTTTATGGGTAGAGCCAAACACAGAGGCTGCGAGCAACCCATCCTTGGTAATGCCATTAGAACAAGAACAGCCACGGGTGGAGTGGCCATTGGGCAGATCGGGACATGTACCAGTGGGCCCTGACACCAGTAACAAATCTGAGCACCCTAGGGTGCAGAAAAGTTGTTTATTGTCTGGCAGCTGCCACGCCTAACAACCTTTTGGTGGACACCCTGATTTAGCACTCACTATTTGGTGCAGACCCCTCATTTATTTGAATGGAGCCTGTCTGGTGTGGCAGCAGGTGGTCAACACAACATAGTGTCATCTGGCAAAAAAGTTGAACTAAGCTCAACTACTGCTACAGGGCAATGCAATATCATCCGGCAAAGTGTTGCAATGGTCAATCAATTCATGCAAGCACACATTCCTGGTGTATTCATTTGTAACTTGAACACCATATTTCTAATGACTAAGCATACCCGCAAGGAACAAAAAATAAAATTGTTGTCGCTGTGATAAATCTCCAAAGATGTACAATCCTGTGTCAGACCATTATCTAAACCACTGTGCAGCGCTGCTTTGTCATCTGGGAGCCTTTAAATTCATCGATCTGTTCCTCCAACTAGAGTGTCTGCAACATATTTTATTGTCTCAAGAACAACAGCACTTGGTCTGAATCCCAAATTAAGCTTGTTTTATTCTTCCCTGTTTTGAACCAGCAGCCTCCAATCAGATTGCCTTACACTGAGCTCAGTGTTAATTGCACTATTACAAAATATAAGCAAATATGAGTCAATTTTTTCCGTTTAGGCGAAGACGGTTTGATGTTAAACAACCAAAGAAAGAAAAGTAAAGCAGCAACATAGAAGGATATCAGTGAAGGTGTTGTTTTAGAAAAAACTAAACAGCCGCTGTTACATAAGAAGAGTAAAAACTAAACACCCACAAATGTTTCCATGAGCCATCACTCACCACCGAGCCCTGACTCACCAAATGAAAACCACCAAGAGTTCCCCCTTACACACACACACGCGCGCGCGCGCACGCACACACACGTTGGGTGGAGGATTTAGTCCAAACAAAGCAATCTTCCAAACCTTCAAACAGCAGCCTAAAAATCTGACAAATCTGTCCACTTATCAGCCTTACTTATTTGGTCTCTGAGCTTCTGTCCGGGGCCTAAAACCTGATCCAGAACTGCTGAACCGCGTGTTTGTGTCACAACAAACTAAAACTATTCTGTAGACTTGAGTCATTGTCGGTATACAGCCGCTATTTTCCCCATTAAATTCTATTCTATCCGAGAACCTGAGGTGACTCTACTCTGGTACTTTTGTGTTTTTTTCTGTAAACTACAATATTCACTGTAGTAATTAACACATGCCTTTGTAGCACTTAGTATCGGTTTCCCTTAATTTCGCCATAGTCTCCCCTAGTGGTGAAGAAGCTGTAACACGATTAACCAGCAGATAATAACGGCAACGGGGCCACAGCGTGTTGAGATGTAACGACGATGTTCATTTATCCAGCAACGTTCATTCATCAAGGGCTCGGCAGCCAAACCTTAAACCGCTACCGACAAAAGCAGAGGCGGCGGCGCTGCGCAGCGACGTGAACAAACACAATGAGTGAGAAGAAAAAAACAACAAAAAAAAAAAAAACACGCTCCTTACCCAGAAGATGAAGTTGAAGAAGAAAAGCATGTACTTGATGCATTTGGTGCAGCCTTCGACTCCCATGGTTCGTCAGACAGATAGATAGATATACTCGGCGCAGAGTTCAGGAGAAGGTGGAGACGGCAGACCGGGTTCCTCGACGTGTAACGGGGCTGAATCTCAACTGTGAATACTGGACTTTAGCTCGCAGACCGAGGCAACACCCAACTCCTCCCTCCCTCACGGTTTCAGCACCCCGCCGTTGTCCACTCAGTGTCGCCAGATTTGACTGACAGCCCAATCAGAGCCCAGAACCCACCCCAAATCTTTTTCTTGTGATACTGGAAAATATTGTTGTCGTTTTCCTGTTGTATGATATGCAGTGTGATAAAGTAAACGCTTTGGTGATGTACCAGAGGCCCGGTGGTGATGTGCCACACATACATCACAAATAGAGCTCTTGGTTTTAACATCTACCATAATGCACCATATGCTGCCACAGAGCATACATGTACCACATACTGCTGACTATAAGTTAATGTGCTAGAACATAAACCATAGAAAAATACATTTATGATGCATATGTAACCTTTTTATTAAAATTGTACATCTATTTAGATTATTTAAAAATGCATTTTTTTAACATATGTGTGTGAAATTATGTGTGAGGCATATCTTTTTCTTTCACTTGATACTGTCACTTAATGACTGTTTTAACTTAAGGTTGCTTTTATATGATGTTCGACATCACATATCCCAAGTCAAAAAGTCATTTAGGATTTTTATCTTCCCCAATAGAATCCATTAGTATTCCTATAAAATTCTGAAAATCCTATAGGATTCTATCCACTTAATATGAAATGTTTTTGGTTTTATTTGAACTTTCACAGTCCTATTGGAAATGTATATATAAAGCCACTACTGGTGTTGCATATGTGGAACACAGAACATCTGAAACTGTAGACTGTCTGACTCGCCCTCCTCCTCACTCTCAGATCTCAAACAACATTCAGTGCAGCTGGATGACAGAGCCCCACAGGTGTGCCTGAGTGCACCGCCAACATTCTTTTACCATATTGTTTTTGGTTTGCATTTTTATTCTTATTAGGGGTCCAAGCATCAAGGTTGCTGGAGCGCTGTTGTTTTCAGTCTGATTTTCAGGGGTCCAAGCATAATTATTATTATTCTTGATCAAAATAAGATTATGCAGGATAAATTATAAACAGTGCAAAGGTGACATTTAAAGGGGAAGGTTGTAGTGCACGCAAAAAAGCTCCAGAAAAAAAAGACCCATGTCGACCATAGGAGGGCGCAATGATAAATATGAAAGCATTTTGTATAACCGTTCATTGCATATTCCAATACTTAAGACTTGAAATTGATTCAGAGGTTTCCTCCTAATTTAAAAATACTTTTCCAAATTACACCAAAATCCTTGTGTATACAGGATATATCAGGGAACTGTAAGCATGAATGAAAGAGGACAGATGTCTTTTTGCAGACATTTACTGTGCTGGCCAGAATATATGAGAATGTATTTTCTGGAGATCATGTATGGTTGTTTGGTTGTATTAAAGGACCAGACAAGTTGTGTTGACAACATCAGATATCATTTTAGAATAGAGAGAGTTGGTGATAAACCTTTGAGCTGGTTTTCCAACCGCCAGTAGAGAAAGAAAAAAAATTGAAAATGGAGCCAGTGCTATTGTAACGATCGTCATTTAGAGAGGGTGTTGCATTAATGGTTGTTCGTGGCTTCAATTTTGCTAAGCTAGTGAGTGCTTTCAGTTTGTTTAGTGAGTCTTTCAAAGTTAGTCAAAAGTGAAAATGTTTTGTCAGCCCAGTTTAACCTTTCTGAAGACTTGCGGACAGTAACTGTTTGCTGTCACAGAGGAAATAAATTTATGTAAGTAAACAAGTAATGTCTTCTGACGTCTTTACTGAAAGAAATGAACCATGGTGAAAATAGAATGCAGTGAAGTTAGTTTTAGGTTGGGTGTTTGAACCAGACCAATGACATAAAGTTGGATGACACGTCTCCACTTCCTCCCACTGTACAAAAATGAAGCCAAAATATCTCAGATTCAGACACTGGTGATGTCATTTGGAGCCAGAGTCTAGAACAGTAGTGATCAGGCAGTGGAGCCGAGGTATCAGTATCAATGAGTGCTGTCAAACATGATGTCACACCTCTTTAGCATCAAATTAAAACAAACGTATGTAAGCATGATAAGAACTTCCTAAAATGACAGAAACCATCTTTGTGAAAACTTTACATGACGTGTAATTTGACGTTTTAGTTTGGCCCATGGTTACTGTCTTCTTACTCAGTTTCACTGGACGGTTGGCTCAACTCCGAGACCTTGTTCTCAACTACAGTTTCACTTAGGGACCATCAATAAATTACAAGATATTGTCAATTAGGGCTGCACAATATATCGTTTCAGCATTGTCATCACGATATGAGCATGCGAAACTGTCACATCACAGTACGTGCAATGTAAAGTAAGGCGAATTAACTCAAACAAGTCATGCTACAACTTTCTTGCTGCTTATTATTTTAGTAATTCAACGGGTGTCCAATAATGGTCGACACAAACTAGTTCCTAGATACAGGGTGGAGAAAAAGCGTAGAAGCTTTTTTAGCCCATGTTTGTTTACATTTTGGAAAATGAAGTGTAGTGAATTATTTATTTTAAGTTCCTGTTCGTTATATACCATTCATGTACTAACCACTGTTACTTTTTTTTCTCCGGTTTCTAATCTGATTTATGGAGGTTTGTTATAGGGGTGTTCTTGTCTGTGTGTTCAGGTCTGACTGAAACATGACACGATCTTATTCATCTGATTTGTTTTGGACATCAGTTTGAGTGTTTTGATACGATATGTGAATAAATGTAACCTCTAATATAATCCATGAGGAGCTCTCAGCCCCTTTTATTTTGTCAAAGCAGCTCTCAGAGTAAAATAAGTCCAGGACCCCTACCATAGATGGTGTGTTCTATAGCTTTGGGCCATCATTGACAATAAATTCAACAGTATAATCAGGCTATGTTCGAACGCTATGTTGTTCTAGATTACTCATCTCAAGTATATGATTAATTCATTCTGATCCACTTAGCTTTGTCATTCTTTAATCCTGTCCAGCTGTTGTTGCATATGGTATGTCTGCAAATGTTTCACAATAAAAGCACTGTTAAGAAATGGTAGAAGGCTTTTAATTTGAAACTGTTACAAGGAGTGTTGAGTTTTTATTATCAGTGTAACGCAGTAATTTCAACAGGGCAAACGGGAGTGGCTCAAAACAAGGCTTCCAGCTAAAATATGACCAATTATATAACAGAGGGAATTAGAAATAAAAACCTGCCTCTAATAAAGATCTTTAACCTTCTGCAGTTGAGGTAAATAAAGTTACTATTTAACTTAAATAAAGTCATTTACTCCACTTTAAGGGTTCTTTAACACATGGAGTTTGTTGCTAGAGAATGACATACAGGCTCTGCATGCACAGTGAACCACGGATCACCCCACCCACACCCGGTCATCAACCACAACCTGAAAATACGCGATAAAATAGGAAATAAACAGTGAAAAGGAAGATTTGGTTTCAAAAATGAAAACAAGGTTATTTCATATGGTTATGTTGACCAAAACCAAGAATTCAAGTCATCTGGTGAGAATTTCTGTATTTTTTCATGTTGCAATATATTTTGCTGAAAAAAATATTGTGCAGCTCTATTTTCATATATTATGTTAATGGATTCTTAAGTATACACTGTGATTTACAGTATGTACATGCCTCTAGGATTTGGAGAGATTTGGAGATTTGGAGATCTTTCCTCTCCCTCTTCATGTCCTTGTTGGATGTCTCAAATTTAACATCTGGAATCAGAGGGAAGTCCTCCATCACTGCTTTGGCCATCAAAACAAACCACACTCCTGTTACAGTGGGTATTTCTTCTTCATTGGATTGTCACTGAGACACATTATAAATGACATTGACCCTGACAAGACAGCCTCCCAAAACCTTTAACAGATTTGTAATTTCCCTTCACATTTGCCTAAATTGGTTCAAATTAAATTGTTTTTCACACAAACATATCTTACAAAATCTCCTCAGCTTACCTTGACAACAATTACATCACAGCTGCTTCCATCCTGTTGAACTGGGTGGCACAACACTCAGTCTGTTTGGCCATGGCAGGTCCTCCTCATCCTAGAAGTCTTCCCTGAATTAGATTAATGTTAATACACTTTACATTGTTATGTAGGTGATGTGAAATTATAATGTCAGCTCACAGACATTTAGTACCACCAGCAAATTTACCTTATCATCGCTAATGCATGAAGGACGGGGATAGATGAGCCATAAATATGACTGACTGAATACTGGCCTCTACATTTAGCAGTACCAACTCTTCATAATTCCAACAGTTTTCAGTGTTGTTTGTGTAGATGAATGTAACTAAATGTGACTCTGTAAACATTCAGATACTGTATATTTCTATTATAATTTTCAATAGTCATAATCATCAAAATTAAAACAAAAATGCTTGAAATATTACTTTATGTGTAATGAATCTAGAATATATGAAAGTTGCACTTTTTAAATTAAATTACTGAGGAAATAAAATAACTTGTGCGTGATATTCTAGTTTTTTGAGATGCACCTGTATACAGCTCGAAGCGAACATGACAGTAGAACACAGCAGATACCTGAATGTGAAAACAGCAACACAATACAGAATCTGTACTCAAAACTACAGAGATTATATTCTAAAGAAATGAGATGAACACACACAGACACTTCCAAGAATGTCTCTCAGCTCTCCTGCACACACGAGTTGAGTCTCACAACATTCTTCGCTGCACCCATATTCACCATTTTTCTGCCTCTACAGCATGGACCTCTGCAATATCCATCAATATTCACTGTATTCATCAATATTTCAATGTTTGTATTTTCAATGTTATTTGCAACTTGGCTCTGTGCAAATAAATAGTGTTTTGTATGTAACATGAGTGTTGTGTGTTTCTGTTTTTCAGCCCTCTGCTGCTGAGGATGCAGAGAATGACATTGCCACCACAGTTATGGGCATTTACACATTCCAAAGATATGAGTTCGGGGAGCCAGGCGACGTGGGGGTCGTCATTGAAAGCGTGAAAGTCCTCACCAATGTGGGAAGTGCCATAACTGCTTTCATCTTACTGTTTG